GCAAACTAGATAATAATCATTACGTTGGTATGATCTATATAGAATAGCTTTTGTATACTCGTATGTGATACGCGAAGTATTGAAATCTTTCAATTTGTAAAGCCGTAGGCTTAGCTCTTTATTTTCGCACAAACTACAACTTAACTGATAATTCATCTTACATTTTTAGAGCAGTTTGAACATAGAACTCTAACACATGTAGCCATCGTTATTTGTTAATATATATGGTTATAAGAAAACAAACATCGTTTGAAGCATTGTTTTTATTGTGTATCATTGCATGTGTTCTTTGTTTTTGATCATGCTTTTCTGAATTTGTACATCATCACTGTCCCGACAGTAGAAACTCCGCATTAAGGAATCACTAAGAAATTTTTCGTCAGGGTGAAGTAGTTAGAGACCTTACGATTTTAGGACGGCAACCGCGACGGCAACGGCTACCAATACAATAGATCATTGAGAAGCATTGAGTAATTACAATAAATGAATAATTTAGACATTGTCCTCGCTCTGTTTACAACGCCAAATCACAGATTTTCACGTGTTGATACAACGGCTGCATTCCAAGCCACAACAAGTGCAACTTCAAACGGTGTTTAGCACAACTCTTCCCAACCATATAACCCATGTCTTCAACTTCTAAAACAGTATTAAATTCATACGATTGATAATATACGACGAACTATCGACTACCATTTATTTGAAGGAGTTTGTTTTGGCCGTCGCCGTCGCGGTTGCCGTTCTAAAATCGTAAGGTCTCTGTTGTTGCTGCCGCAGCGAGCGAGGAAGGCAGCAGTCCTAAATCATGCAGTGGTGTTTTTTTAAAAAAACTTGCCGCTAGGCATTGTGGTCGTTGAAGTTCATTCACAAATTATCACGTAATGTCATGTAATAAGAATAAAACAAAACAAAAAGTGTAAACATTATATAAGGTGGCATAGCCCTACAAAAAGTGACTGTGGGGACATTTGGGGGCCGTCTGGCGCAATCTGACAAAAAGGCAGTATTTACTACCTCTAAGGTAACCTAGTCATATAATACTTCGTAAGAAATACTTAATAGAAATCAGGGAGAGTAATTTAATTTAACACCTCCCGGAGCAATCATTAATTACCCGAAAGCCATATAGCCATGAGCCAAGTGTCAAAAATGCGACTTTTGAATACGCACCTCGGGAACCAAAAAATTTCTTCAACAACTATTAGCACATGCATTTTAGAAGAAAATTATGTAGTATGCCAATCGTGAGTCTTGCACATTGATAAGAAAAATTAACCGCTTTCTTGACTAATATTTGCATGAATTTACTAAATACTCCCTTTCAAATACACAGCATGTTTATATCTCTTAACGAATCAAAACGGGTTTTGCCCAGCGATAAACCAATCCGATAAGAGTATCATGTTTCAGTAACAACAAGGAAATTGTAAACAAATATGCCTTCCGTCAGCGAAGACAGACCCGCCAGGGAAAGATTTTTGCATTACATGCCATATAGTAAATAATGCAAGAGGAAAATTAACATCTTTTACATATACATCATGGTGAAATTTTGTGATATTCGCAGCAAAGTGGAAGAAATTTATTATGTAAAGAAGATGAAATCGCACATGATTCGGAGGCGAAACTTGACTTGCGTCTCTATTCACAGTGTGAGACAACGCACACAGATAATGCCAAGAGTTTTCTGCCAATACCAGCCTACTGCAAATTTCGCTGGGAGTGCTACAACAGGTTTTGCAACAAACAGAAGAAGACAAGCTGTAATGGACGACAATGCGAAAAAAAGTAAGAAATGATGGTTCAGAATTGTACAAAATATAGTGGCAGGTGTTTTATTACAACGAACAGAAATATGATCAAGTTAGGCCATTCAATAAACTCATGCAGATATGTCCTAAATCCTTAAAAAGTCATGGAAGACTAGTATATTTAGTTAAAGTTGCGCTATATTTTTAGTGATACTAATGTTGACATGGTCATTTTTATTATTACAAATGTATTAAAACAAATTCAAAAGTATGCATTTTGGCATTTTGTCTTTAATACACACTTTCAGCTGAGTTTTATTACCACGACATATATATGACTACAATGTGTTTCAAAAATTATATTTTCAGTGTTTAATAATCCATAGAAATAACAAACTGATACCTATGCAGGTTTTATCTAAATGTTGTTTTCCATCACTGTATAGTTAGTTTCGCATTAAATTTCACATTACAATCGTGCCAATAGAAGCGTTCCGAAAAATGTTGACCAGTTGACCAGGAATACCTCTGAACAATTCCTTAAAATTTTGAAAATTTCTTTAAAGTGCATATGACATAAAATTTCTTATTTTCTAAAACAAAAGAACTCTTTAAGCTGTAGTGTAACTTATTTTTCAGTTTCTTGTTTTTATGGCTTTATGGTTTTATTCCCGAGATATTTCAATTTGTTTGATATGTAAATGAGTGTGAATATGTCCACTAATTTATGACGTCATGTTGGTTGCAAGCTGAATAAGGGGGATAGGGGGTGTTTGGACATGAAATTTTGCATAAAATATTTCGACTAAGTGCGCCAAGGAGTTTTGACCAGGATTGTAAATCGAAGGAACTAGATTCTGTTCCGAAATATCACGTACTCACGAACCGACCAGATCGCGCAGCTCAGTTGGCAGAGCATTGGGCTAGTATTCCAAAGGTCGTAGGTTCGATTCCCACCGTGGTCAGGCATAATTTTCAAGCTTGCCCGGTGTGGACATACACTCAGAGTAACATCACAAGCATCATATTCACACTCATTTACATATCAAACAAATTGAAATATCTCGGGAACAAATCATAAAAACAAGAAACTGAAAAATAAGTTACACTACAACTTAAAAAGTTCTTTCGTTTTAGAAAATAAGAAATTTCATGTCATATGCACTTTAAAAAGTTCCCAACTTTCTGTTTCATTGACCAATCAAATTTTATATTTTATTTTTGGACAATCCGATTGGTCAATGAAAAGGAACTTATCAAATTGTTGAGGAATTGTTCAGAAGAACTCCTCGAAGTTAGGAAATGAACTGGTCAACATTTTTCCGAGCGCTTTTATTGGCATGACTGTAAATTTTGAAAAACCGAGACATTAGTTTATGTACGACCACAAAATATCACAGTGCCACAGAATAAAAGTATTTTTTTATTTCTCTTATAAAACTTGAAGGAAACATGCTACATACTTTATTTTTGTGAATATATATTAGTTGTAGTCTCATTGGTCATATTAAAACGAAAAATGGATATTTTCATTAAATTCTTCAAAATAACAGAGATAAACCAAAAATAAAATTCCTTATTTTTGGCACTTTTTTCTGCTTAATGCCCGTAAAATAAGAAAGTTTGAAAGTAAGTTTGCAAACCAACATGATTTACATTCATGAACATGAGTTTCTCTAAGTGAAACAACATTTCTACTGTTCAGGAATCTTACTGAGTAATTAAATTTACTATAAAAGACTCAAGTTTTGAAAATTATTGGTAGTTAACCTAATATACTATGGTCCATACTACCAGTATTCTGTGGTGATTTTAGTATTTACCTTCCACTAAATTAAGTTAGAAATATTTGTACAGTGTTATCACACAACATGACACACCACTGTTCGTCACTTATTGCCGCACTGGTATTCTGTGGTACATTAAGATGTTATCCACAGAATGTCGGATTTAAAAAATAATAGAATTTGGCAAATCTAACCCCCAAGGCCCCACAGGAAGAAAAATATAATGAAAAACTATGATGCTGTTAGCAAAAAGATCATCTTTGGATTTAATTTGGCAGCATATCTCATGAAATTGTGGTCATTAATTGGAATTCTATCGAGTCGCCAAGTTTACCTAGGGATCACATGCCCACCATGTTGGGTGCAACAAAAGTGCAACTTATGTACGTTACCCACCCATTGATGTATTGCTTTCAAACGGTTCAAGCTTCTATGAGTTGATGAAAGCTTGGTATTTAAACATTCACATTCGGCTTTGAAGACTGATATGCGCATGCGCTTGGCAATCTCAGTCACTAAATTATCGACAGTCACTATTAGTTCATTTACTTGCATAATACTGTAACAGTAACAGTAATTTTAATCAAAAGAAAAAAATATACAAAAATTTAACAGTTGTCTGCAGGTAGCGAAAACTATTCGAGGCAGACAACTGGAAGACTATACTACGATTTAATTATAGAGATGACATATAAGTTTCAAAATATAAAAATGACATACAAGTTTAACACATAAAATAACATATAAGTTTCAAAATATATGCAATAATAATATTTTATCTTAGAAGAATTTAGCTGAATTTATCTAATTGTTATATTTTTCAATCTGTTTGTTAACACTGCGATATCAACATAATCCTCCTCATTTGTAAATATAGAAATTAATACTTTATGTAATGTATTCTTAAATTTATTCATCGGAAAATTATGTAAGTCACATGGAATGCTATTCCATATTTTTGCGCCAGTTCTGGAAAAAGAATTATTCAGTTTATTTAAACATGAATGTTTCACATTGAAGTTGACGTTTGAGGAAAATCTGGTATTATATTCATGTATGTCATGAGTATAAGTAAGGAGATTTGATATATGTAGTGGTGCTAAGTTATTATGTACATCATGCATCAGAATAGAAACAGATTTAAAGTATAACATCTTAACAGGTAGAATATTGGAAGAAGAAAAGAAAAGAAAAAAAGGAATTGCATGGGATGTATAATCCCCAAAGTAGATTAACCGAAGAACACGTTTTTGAAGCTTTAAAATTTTATCAAGATGAACTTTGGCAGCCTGACTCCATATTGCTATGCCATATGAAATATGAGGCTGGGAAACCCTGGCTAGGAGACGAGAACAAAACAAGCTAGTATTGATGTATAAAGTCTTGGGGAACCACACTGCGCCAAACCTTAAAGATCTTTTTTCTCGGAGAGATGCATCGCAGAATACTTATGATTTACGCAATAGCGAAACTGATCTCTCGTTAAAAAAACCGAAAACGGAATTTCTAAAGAAAACATTTGGACACAGTGGAGCAATTCTATGGAATAGTCTCCCGCAAGATGTCAAGGCGGCTGAGTCAATTACGTCATTTAAAACAATGGCGAAATTGCATTTAAGCAGATGATAAGCTAATTTCTCCAGGACCAAATGATGGGAGGACAATATAGATTGTGGGCGGGAGGGGAGTTAGTTTTGCATGAGGGTGGGTGGGTACTTGTTTAGGGGGTGGAGGTTTGGGAGGAAGATGATAAAATTTTAGGGTGGGATTCTTACATATTTTGGTCTATATATAATTAACATTTAGCTCTTTGTGTGTATACGCCCTTCGTGGAAACCAGTTGTAAATAATTGTCGAAGTTAGCGTATTGAAATAAAGTTTTACATACGTACATACATACATATATATATATATATATATATATATATATATATATATATAAAAAAAAACCGAAAACGGAATTTCTAAAGAAAACATTTGGATACAGTGGAGCAATTCTATGGAATAGTCTCCCGCAAGATGTCAAGGCGGCTGAGTCAATTACGTCATTTAAAACAATAGCGAAATTGCATTTAAGCAGATGATAAGCTAATTTCTCCAGGACCAAATGATGGGAGGACAATATAGATTGTGGGCGGGAGGGGAGTTAGTTTTGCGTGAGGGTGGGTGGGTACTTGTTTAGGGGGTGGAGGTTTGGGAGGAAGATGATAAAATTTTAGGGTGGGATTCTTACATATTTTGTTCTATATATAATTAACATTTAGCTCTTTGTGTGTATACGCCCTTCGTGGAAACCAGTTGTGAATAATTGTCGAAGTTAGCGTATTGAAATAAAGTTTTACATACATACATACATACATACATACATATAAAATGTACTCAAAACCATGAGTAAATGAATGCACCCATAGTGACACATAATAGTGAGTAAAACTAACTCATAAACGCGAGTAACAGTTACTCACATTTTCGAGTGAATCTCACTCGAAAAACTGAGTTAAAACTACTCAAAGTACACACATGCATATAGTTGACAAATTACTCAAACTTTGAGTAAATGTTACTCAAAACTGGAGTAATTTTACTCAAAAGATGAGTTGTAGGTACTCAAAAAAAATGCACCCATACCGCCTCTTTATTTTGAGTAAATGTAAAGATTACTCAACCTTTGAGTAAATGTTACTCAAAACTGGAGTAATTTTACTCAAAAAATGAGTTCTAGTTACTCAAAACAAATGCACCCATACCGCCTCTTTATTTTGAGTAAATGTAAAGATTATTCAAACTTTGAGTAAATGTTACTCAAAACCGGAGTAATTGTACTCGAAAAAGAGTTCTAGTTACTCAAATAAAATGTATGCCTAGTGACCCCTCATTTAGAGTAAATTACTCAAAGTTTGAGTAAATGTTACTCAAAACTGGAGTAATTTTACTCAAAAAAGAGTTCTAGTTACTCAACTAAAATGTACCAATACTGACTCCTTATTTCGAGTAAATGTAAAGATTACTCAAACATTGAGTGAGCGTTTCTCAAAGCTTCAGATTTATCTACATGTACATCTATATAGAAAATTTCAGTTACTATAATGCAACAAATATACGTACAGACAAAACCAAGAGTAAACACAGACAATATTTGGTGACTAAATGTTATAATTAATTAATAATCGTTAAAAATCCACAATGGACAGTCAATACACAATAAAATCTGCCTGCATGCATGGAGCTGGTAAATAACGCTGCAGCAGACTGATATCGAGAAATCAGCAAATCGCTCTATAGTGTAAAATACTGGCCATTTTGGAGGACGAGTATGCAGTCCAGTTTATATATATATGCCAGCTGTCTTCTTATACACATGAATGGTTAAATTCACCTTAATACAACATCTAACAGATTGTTTATTTCTGTAAAATAATTTGGAAATATTTTTATAGAAATTTTATTCGGATTATATAACACAGAGCATGAAAAGCTTGGGTTTACTGTGGCCGGGCTAAAACAAATGTGTGACCATTGAGTGTGTGACTGAATCTGAACTTAACCTTTCATGTGTATATAAATCGTCCACAAAAATTAAAAGTCTTGAAAAAAGATTATGAATGAATGATCGATCAATTATTAAAGTATTCATGCAAGTTTCATTGTTTCAACTTCAAGGTTTAATCAAGGTATTAAAGAGAACAGTCTTCTATAAAATTATATCTGTATACTTATATAATGTTTAAAATAGTTATTGTAAATTATTCCTAGCATATTAGTCAATCTAGTTGGCCATCGAGTCCAGTTTATTGACGAAGCTAATAACTGAAGCTGGCAGCTCCTTGCCATCGTTGATGTTCAACACACACTTTTGCAAGAACAAACAGAAATTATTCAAGGTACCTGCGTACTCGAACATAAAAACATAATTTACAGCCATAAATACCACAGCTCTTGACAGCTGTGTCCACCATACCCACTCTTGAAACGTGAAAAGGACCATCTTTTCTGCTACAATAGCCATCTCCTCCCAATCATCGGGGTCTCCCTTAATGACTATTTTCGGGCTTACTTCATTCGCACTCTCGGCAGCATCTTCAAAGCTTTCATCCTCCTATCAAGAATAGAAGTGTATATTTAAAAAGAGATTACATGCACATTTAATTTCTATTTACCTGCCTGAAGTATATATACAA